AACTTTCCCTGAACTTCACGGGAAAAACAAGCAACTTTTTTATGAACAACTTTCGCTGTACAAAATCAACAGCAAGTTGCATCAAAGGGCACTGAAGGCAAACAATATCAAGCCATCATTGAACGAGTTATCCGTATAATAAAGTCTGTTCGAAGTGTACTGATTGCGGTAATTGATAGGGCGAGAGGCGAGAGGCGTCTGGCAACAGCCAAAGCATAAAATATGCAATTGATTGATGACACTAGCCAAGCAGAGCGCCGGCCAATAGAGCAGGGGCCAAGAGAAAAAGTAGGTAAGGATAGCCAGCAAAACGTAGACCAACATAACAACACTGGACAACAGAACATAGGCTAACAGAACGTAGGCTAACAGAAGAGTAGCTAACAGAGTACGTGCTGACAGAGCAGAGATTAACAAATCACAGGCTAACGTAATAGAACTTAACAGAACACGAACTAACAGAACACACTGTAACAGAACACAGGCTAACAGAGCACATATTAACAGAGCATAGATTAACAGAGCACATGTTAACAGAGCATAGATTAACAGAACACAAGCTAACAGAACGCAGGCCAACAGATGTCCTGCTAACAGAGGACTTGTTAACAGAGCATAGATTAACAGAACACAAGCTAACAGAACATAGGCTAACAGATGGCATGCTAACAGAGCATAAATTAACAGATCACAGGCTAGCATAAAAGAACTTAACATAACAGAGGCTATCAGAACACAGGCTAACAGAGCACACGATAACAGAAAACAGAAGACTTGTTAACAGAACACAGGCTAACAGACAACAGGCCAACAGAAAACCAAAATTTGTCAGAACATTTCAAACAACATATATTTTGGGCACATTTCAGATTATATCACCTATAAAAAATATATTTTAATAGCATATATATATTTTAATAGAAATTTTTACTTGGTTCGAATAAGCTGAAGGCATGAGAAAGACTCTGATACAGTCTCACTCGAATGCAGCATAGCTTTTAGAGCTCAAACCTGCTGGCTTGTGTAATTGTTTCCACTACTCAAGGAAAACGTCTCTCAGGTCTCCATAAAAACAAATGGGTTACCCTATGTAATTGTATTTTCTGAGCTATTCAAAGCCGAACGCAATAGTTAGGCAAACAAAATTCCATAATTTGAGCAAAATCAATATACGAATCCCAAAAACCAAATGAGGCGCCGACCTTTGCGTTTAGCCAATCTTGTCTGGCAGATCGTCTATGCATGAAACGGACATACGACGATTCAGAGTCGAGTCGAGGCGAGTGAAATTAGCGGGCGCAATGTCTGTGGCCAAATGACAGCGACAACGTGAAAAATTATGGCTAATGGCGGAGCAAGGCGTAATCAGCCGCCATCCACACGAAATGAAATGGATTGAAATGGAATGTTCAGAAACAACGCCGAGTGCACGGGCGTTTGACATGCGTGGGCGCGTGAGCACGTGGGCGTATGGGTGGGGCTTTGAGGACATTGGGGGCATTGGGGGCCGTGCAGCATGCAACACATGCCAAACTAAAAACAGCAGCACGAACAACAGCAGCGGGAGTAATGGGAATTGAGAAATGAGAAACGACTAAGCTGCATAAGCATTACCTGCCACAGCCAGTGCCCGTACCGGGACCGCTGCAGCTGTTGTTGCCGCAGCCGCTGCCCACACGCAACTCCATTTTAGCAATTTACAATTCAATGAGCCTGCATTCGAGCCACAAATATCAATCCCAGTCGCCAGTGGGCACTGCGCTCCCGCCCTAGCCGAATCGGGTCTCTGCTCTGCACTACTCTCCCGCCCGTCGGTCCACAAGTAAGCCAAATTTAACAGGCAATAAACCAATTTTTATACATAAAAAGCCAACGGGAGCATATTTTCAATGTTTAACTCAAATCCCAATAGGTCAAACGAACTTACGGGCTAATAACAGAGCTCAACATGCGACACGAACCCAGATAACAACGTATGTATGTATGTATGTAGTTCGGGGGCAAGCAAAAGACAAAATAAAACATTGGATGACGAAGCCAAGAATACTCTATATCATGTTAATATGTTTATAATTTGCATTCATAATTTAATTGTGGCCTTACTTGATATACCTATTTCAAGCCCTCTGTAAACTAAGCGTCTTATGAGTTTAGATACAACAAGCTCGATTATCTATGCTATAAATTTAACCAGAGTCAAATATAAAGCGCATTAAGGCTGTAGGCTCAATCAATAATTTTTGTAATTCGAGGCACGAACACTTTGCGCAGTATTTTGACAATTCTCTAAGTAACAAACAAGGAAGAATGCATTCCAGTTGGCAATGACCGACGCGCGGATACCCGGAACTTTAGACAGAGCTGTAACTTTAGCCATTCTATGCTGCTTCTATGCACACATAGCAAACACTCATACACACACATACATATATACAAACAAGCGCTCCGCTCTACTTCGCAGCGACTGCGCTCGCAAATAGGAAATGATTGAAAAACTTTTCTTCTAGATCAATTTTCTTTATTAAATTTTCAGAGTACTTATCAGAATATTTACGGTGTGTGTATGTGCTAAAGCACAAGTCTTTAAAATTTGAAATACGCTTATCGATTATCATCTTTTAAAGGAAGTGGGATCAGTTATCGGGAAAGGCTTAAAGCTCATACTGCTTACTACAAATAGGCATAGACATTGAAACTATGTAGAACGTGCTAAGGATAACCAGATGTCTCTTTTTGCGAAAGATCATGACTTTCTTACTTGAAATGCGCTTATCGATAATTATCGATAGTTATGAAATTAATGGAATTATCGAAAAAATTATAAAAATGTATGTTATATACGTATTCACAAGATCGATGCTTTCATATAGACGGACAGACAGATAGTCAGACGGGCGGATGGATGGACGAACGGATAGCCTCACTGACGAACATGCCTAGGCCAAGTCAACTCCTTGGCCTTATCATTCATATATGTACGTATGTACCACCCTATGGCATCTACATTCACTTCCAGGGATCCAATATACCCTCAGTGCGCACTTTCAATGGGTTCAGGGCATAAAAGAGCAAATAAAATTTAATCGAATTTAAGCTTAAGTACACTTTATATTATTTGGATGGCCCTAAGAAGCTTTCAGCTCAGATCGATGCTAAAATAGAAATAACATTATGGAAAAATGCGATAATATAGCTCAAGAGGTCCAGGCTCAAGGCTCAAGTCTGAGTCGGGCTTATTTAGCGTGAGCTATCAATATATTTCGAGTTACTCTCAGCGAACACCTAAATATACTAAATAACGATTTCGCACTGAACTTTTTGCATTTAAGTTCTTTAAATTTGAGCACCTCGATGGAATTTCGCTTTAATGTTCATTTAAGGCGCGTCTGGACGCTGGGCGAAGATTTCGGCTTCTCTCTCTCTGTGTGTGTGTGTGTGTGTGGGAGCTGGGAGTAATAATATCTTTCAATTGTGCGACGTGCGCAAAATAAAAAACAATTACTTAAATTTTATTTACATTTATTGTGAAATCTTTTGGGCCGAGTTTATTTTGCAACATGCTCAGCCAACGGAATGCCAAGGGAATTGCTCAATTGGTGCAGCTACATAGATTCGCTTTCGCTCTCGCTGTCGCTCTCCCTCTTTCTCTCTCCCGCCCGCTCTCCCTCTCTCCGTATCGCCAGTTTTCCTATATTTATCATTTCCATAAAATTTGCATGTTTATTTGTGGGCGGACTCATTGAACCATGGTCAAAAGCGGCGATGCGGCGGCATAGCTAAATTTAATTTTGTTGCTTTGTTAATGAGCTTGGCTTGTTTAGCAATTTCGGCCACGCTCAGCTAATTGGTTGCCGCTGAAACAGCAACAACAACAACAAGAACAACAGCAACAACAACCACACGCAATTCCTTTTGAACCACGAAAAAACAGTTGCGACGGCTGCAAGCACCAAAGTCGCTCTCGGCACACGGCCTTAATCCCTTGTGCCAATTCTCCAACCCAACTAGTTACTCTCCCACACACACACACACACACATGCGCACATACACAGTCGTGTCACTGTTTGCTTTCTATCTGCATGCCAACGAATGCAAAGCGGCTTCTGACGTAACGTAAAAGCCTAATTTTGTATACCTACATATATACACACCCACACCCACACACACACTCACATACATATACATGTATACATGTATTTTCTTACTTTGTGTTTTTTTGATTTTGCACGTAAGTCAACAGACAGAAACACGCCCCCTCGCTACCCGCTGCTCTTTGACTGGCTCATCAGCAGCAGCAGCAGCCGTAGGAGGAGGGGCAGGAGAAGCAACACCATCAGCAGGTAGTTCAAATTGAGCAGTCCTATACCAACTAGGCATTGGCAATGATGAATGCTGCATGTTTGGGCCAGAGCTGAAGGTGGCTTGACTTCATTATGATGGGGCAGCCGGCAGGCGGCAGGCGGCAGGCGGCAGGCGGCATGCAAATAACGTTAGCGCGTGCCAACATTTGGCCATTATCATTATCGTTGGCCGTGCTCAAATGGATCACATTTGTTATGCCCAGCAGCCGGCAGCCCGCAGAACGCAAACCTAGTTAGAGTCGGCATAAATTAGCATTTTAATGTGAACTGGGCAAAAAAAAAAAAAAAAAAAAAAAAAAAAACCAACTCGCGTTTCGTGAACGTGAAAATTGAAAATTTTAAGCTGGTTGAACATTTTTATTTAGTCAAATGAACTATGGAGCTGAAACTGTGAATGATTCTAATAGACAAATGAACTATGAGCTGCGGCAGTGATGACTTATCGATGAGAGACAAGATAGCTATCGATATTTGTAGTTCAAATGAACTCTGTGATGACTCTTATCGATGGCAGACATGGCAAATATCGATATATTTATTTGAACATTCTTCATAGATATCGCGCCTTTGCATTTTGTAAATCAAAACAGGTTTCTTTTTCCTTTAATACCATGTAAATCGCTCTTCTTCTTGTTGCAGCCGCCTCTGTGGCCGTCTCCTCGTGGACTCTGGTGGCGATATCCTGCGAGCGCTACTACGCCATTTGCCATCCGCTCCGGTCGCGCACCTGGCAGACGATCAACCATGCCAACAAGATCATCGCTTTCATCTGGCTGGGCAGCCTGGTCTGCATGACGCCCATTGCGGTATTCAGCCAGCTGATGCCCACCAGTCGCCAGGGTGAGTAAGCCGTGCGCCAGCTCTGGCCTCGTCTCTTAGCCATTGATATGTATGTATTTGACAGGCTTGCGCAAGTGCCGCGAGCAGTGGCCCGTCGGCTCATTGGGCTATGAGCGCGCCTATAATATCTTCCTGGACCTGGCGCTGCTGGTGCTGCCGCTGCTCGCCCTGAGCTTTGCCTACATGTTCATCACGCGCACGCTCTATGTGAGCATGCGCAACGAGCGCGCCATGAACTTTGGCAGCAGCGGCCCCGACGTCGGCCTGACCACCAGCAGCAGCAGCAACAACAACAGCTGCAGCGGCAGCCGTCGCACCTTCGGCAGCTCCAACTATCTAATGCGCATGCAGATGCGCCAGGAGGCGCTGGCCGCCGACAGCGCTGCCCAGCTGGACATGTTGCTACAGCAGCAGCAGCAGCAGCAGCAACAGCAGCAACAACAATGTGGAGCAAACCAATATTATTATGGTGAGTCAAAGGGAGCTAGCACGCTGTGTCCTCCTCTCCCCCCCTCTCTCTCTCTCTCTGACTCACAGTGTGTGGCTGTTGAAAGTCAGCGCACGACAGCTTCAATTGCCTGACTGTGCCGCAGTTTCCTGTTCGCCAACGCTGCTAAAGTATTTCCTGCTCATGCACGCTGCCGCGCCCACTCGCCCACTCGCCCACACACACACACACACACTGGCAATTTGCATGGAAAAATCAGCCGGGCGTAAAATGTGATTCAACATCCTACTTTAGCTCTGCCGCATGGCTAACTAACCGCGTCACTCATACGCCGCATCGGCCGCTCTCTGAGTGTGTGCGTGTGTGTGTGTGTGGCGATAAATCGGCTGCCGTTGAATTCAATTTGATTTCGAGCATTTGATAAATTCAAGTGAGCCACTCAAATGGCCTTTCATTCGCAACGATATTGCAGAGCTTTAAATGCTTGAACTATAAAACGTGCCGCACATTAAGCTGCAGCTTAACCAATATTGCCTAACTGTTTGCCATTTGAATTTTCAACACTCTACCACTCGCCCTCACCCTCTCTCTCTCTCTCTCTCTCCTTCTCTGTCTGACTCTCTTGTTAGCTGTCAATCAATTAAGATTTAAAGCCTACTTAGAGTGGGCTCATAAACCTAAAACATTTCATAGTTCGTCAGGCTCTCGACTCGGCTCGACTCGACTCAGTCTCTCTGTGCGTCTCAGTCAACATTATTCGCGTTAATTAGAAGTTTGTTTGGTTATATGTGTGTGTGTGTGTGCCAATAAAATGTAATGCGCTTAGTTCTTTTTCAGCGGACGCCCGAAAGTATGCTCCGCCCCAAATACAGCTCTGCTCTCGGTTGCTCTTTAAATGAGGTAAACTGAAATCGCATATTAGCATAAAGTTGCGTTGCGTTGCGCTGCGCTGCGCTGCGGTAGTGGAGCTCAGGCCCAAGTTAATGAATTGTCATGGACGGGCTGTGGCCGTAAAAGGATGCCGCTGTCAAGTTTGAAGTCGCAGTTCCATTTCCGCTTCCGCATTTTAAACGGGCTTCCAAACGGACGAAAGGGCCAAAGCAAATATCGTAATTTATGCTGGGGTCGAGCATTTAAATGCTCGTTAAATGCCCGGTTATCTCCTTTATCGACCCAAAAGTCCCAGCGCAAATTAGTGCGACCAGATTGTTGGCTATACCCGGCACATGGTGACACATTCTCACATGACGCACACAGAACACATGACCGCAAAGAGCACCTTGAACAGAGGCAGAGAGAGTGTGAGAGAGAGAGAGGGAGAGAGACAAACGCTTCGCCAGTTGATGATATATTTTTATTAAAGTTCATTTTTTATTTTATTTTTTAAACCTATCCAATTTACGGCCAGCACTTAACATTTTTGTGTCATAAATTTGGGAGGCAGCACTGGCAGCCAGCCGCTGGAGTCCTGGCCCGGGTCGAGTCCCGGCCGGAGGAGGTGGCGCAAATGTTTTATTACACTCAACGCAGAGCTTTGGCGCGCTCGTACGTAATTTGCATAACCAAGTCAAATATAATTAGAGCCCTAAACTCGTAATATTCGCCATTGCTGCGCCGCTCATTAAAGCCTTGCAACGGGTAGCCACAATTTAGTCGCACTTCCAGCTGAGCTCAGCTCTAGCTCATGTCTCACACATGCAGTTGCCCTTTTAGTGAGGAGTATCTCACGTTCATCATATGCGATTCAGCGCTCAAAATTTTTGTCGTCTTTTAATTACCCAACCAAAGACTCAGCTGCCCAAGTTAGATATATATTATTCATTGGCAATGGGAAAAGATGAATTCTTAATCTGTTTCTCAACTTGGTAAGCTCTTGCGCTTAATGAACAAGTCAGTCGGGCGTTGCCGACTGCATAATACTCATTCGCGGCTCGAATGGGAGTGTGGAAGGAGACAGCACTTTAATTGTCCCATATCTTAACTCCAGCTGCTAAACAGCTTTACCTCATGTGCCACGCCTTCAGTGAGAGTGGGTAGTCATTTTGGGCCAGTTCTTAGAAGTAAGTCTGTCGCTAGTAGCGACTAAATTGTTCGCTAGACAGAAGAGCAGACGGATGAACGCAGAGGCAGAGGGATGGAACGGGGAGACAGATGGCAGGACAGTTAAATAGACGGAGAGATGGATATATAGATGTAGATGGACGGACGGACAGATGAATGAGTAGATAGAGATGTATGGATTGACGGATGGATCGATATAAACTGAAGGACGGATTGATAGATGAATTGGCGCACGGATAGTTATATAGGATACACAAGAAAACAGACTAAGAGAAAGATGAATGGACGAACGGATTGACAGACGGAGGGACGGACTGACGTATGGCTAGATAAACAGACTTACCAACAGACGGGCAGACAGACCGTTAGATATATAAACGGACAGACAGACGGATAAATAGTTAAGCAGATCGACAGACTCACGGATTGAGGGACGGACGGGCAGACAGACGGATAAAAAGATGATGACAGATCGACAGACTCTCGAATTGACGGACAGACTGGCAGACAGACGGACGAACAGACTTACATACGATAGATAGATAGATGGACAGGCGTTAGATAGATGGATGGGCAGACGATCAGACGATCATTCTATAAAAAGATCAAGGACGTAGTCAGAAAACTGTTCTCTACCTATTGCGCAGCCCCGAGTTGATTTCTCATACAACTGAAATATTATTCCTTCACTTCACATCCGACTGAGCGAGCATTAAGCAGTCAAGTGGACTGAACTGCTGATGTTCTTGTAGGAATTACACTGGCTAACTTTTTACAGCCTTTGGCAATTTTCGTTTGTAAATTCAAAGAGGATTTTTGCCCGCATAACAAACTTAACGCTCAGCCTTGGCTGCTCTTATTGAAGGTAAAGAAAATGTATAAACAAAAATATGAAAAAATGCAAGTCAAGAGTCTCCATTGGACTCGGATACTGTGGAGCTGCTCTCTGTAAATTGCGACAAGTTGAGGTCGTCGGCAGCTACCAGCTCTGTGGGGCAAGGAGAGAGAGAGATTTGTGAGCTGCGGGTGTTATTAGCTACTACCGGCTCTCACCTGAGGCATCTATCGAGCGCCGCATATTGATGGGCAACGAGTCATCGCCGGCGTTGACCCGACGTAGGCCCGCCTTTAGTCGATCATCAGCAGCTGCCGCTGCCAGTTTCATAAACTTGTGTGCGGCTGCCACACGCCACTCGAACTCCACCTGGCGGCGGCGGTCGTTGGTGCTGTGCATGACGGTGCGGTAGATCAGATGCAGCAGCCGACTGCTGTAGCCATTGTCGAAGATGCGATCGTGCTCCTGACTGCCGGCCAGTAGATCGTACGGATACAAGTCCTGTACTCCTGCACCGTTCACCCGTAACAATGTAGCAGAGTGTAGCCGTATGGGCCAAAGCTTACCCATGTTGCTCTGTGTAGCGCTCTCTGCTGCATGGCGTTTTTCTGGCTGCTTTGTCAGCTGATCGTACGACATCTTAACGCAAACGCCCGCTGAAAACAGGAAACCTTTTAGGGTTCCACTCTAAAAGGCTTGCGCTCCACTTACCCCATGCCAAAATCAATAGAAATAGAAAGATCTGCAGACAGAAGCGCCAGTTACACATTTTCGTCTTCAAAATATATTTTGAGTAGAAGTAAATTTAGTTTTGACTTTCGATTTGGTCGAATATTATGTGAAATGATGCTGTGACTGTTTAGGCTCAAACTGGATTTCTCCTATTCCGAATTTGACTTGAATCTGCTTACACTATTGACTCATACATCTAAGCCAACTGAGCTCTGTCTACATGGAACGCTCAGAGTGATGTCAATGAGCCTACGCTGATGCATGATGCGGCTGCTCAGAGGTTGCTCAAGTGTCGAAACCAAAGTTGAGGTCTGCCTAGCAAAAGAGATAGAGAGAGAGAGAGAGAGAGAGAGAGAGAGAGAGAGAGAGAGAGAGAGAGAGAGTTGCCTGCAATTCGCTAAGTAGTGCACGGAATTTTGCAACTGCATCGGAAAAGATTTCCTAATTGAGTTCCCTTTTCTTAGAACTACTTGGGCCCTTTGCAGCTGCATCGATAGGGATTTTCTGTTTGAGTGCCTCCATTTGTTGGATGAGAATTAATTGGGTCCTTTGGAACAGCATCTGCAAATATATGCTAATTGAATCCGTATTTATTGTTTAGGAAATTGATGGAACTTTTGCAACTACATCGATAAGGATTTTCCAATTGAATCCCCATTTATTATCTGGGAAATATTTGGGACTCTTGCAAGTGCATCGATAGAGATTCGTAATTGAATCTCCCATTCATTGCTTTGGAATTATTTGGGATTTTTTCACCTCCATCTTCAAGGATTTTGATATTGAATTTCCGATTTATAGCTCAGCAATTTTTTGGGACTTTTCATGAGTTTTCTAATGAAATCCCCCATTTATTGTTCAGGAATTCTTTGGGACTGTTGCAACTGCATCAGAAAAGATTTCCCATGGATTTAACGCAATTTTCCATTCGTACTTTAAATTGAAGAGTTTTCACAGTCGATGCAATATGTATGCGCACCGCGATGCTCCAATAGCCAGCTGAAGCGTGCTGAGCCGCCCGGCTGCCACCCATTTGCCTAGCTTGAGGCACTGTTCGTCCCACTGAGGACATAAGCGCTTGGCCGGCGCATGGCTTGCGGCACGGCCTTTGTGCCACGGCGCGCAGTAACCGTTAACGGGTAACGGGCAACGGATAACGGGCAACCGGCAACCGTTGCTGTGCAAAGAGCTGCAGCATCGCAGCCGGCAGCATTCGCCACGTGCCATAAACGAGTCGGACGCACAAAGCCAAAAAGGTGATGCGGACCACGGCTTGCTGCATCTACTCCGATGGCTCAACGGCTCCAGCGAACACCCTGCTAATCGGCTAATTAAAATCAACAAGCGAGCATTATTCTGTAGACTAACCAATGGCATCCTAACACCCAACCAATCACACCCGCATCCACATCCACGTTGACGTCCAGGTGCATGTCCAGGTCCGTCCAACTGCAGTTGATAAGCCACACACGCCGGCTGTCAGTCAAAGTTGCTGCTCGCTCTTATTGGACTTTCCATTAGGCAGCTTCAATGCCAGCCAAGCTGCCATCCATTCAGCACAGCTTTATCTCTCTGCGGATACCCTATCTCGGCTATCGCCAAAGGCTTTTGGATGTGGATGACAGATGTCAGACCTGTTGGCTGACAAAAGGCACTCTAAGCCAACGCTGTCTGGCACTGCGATTGCAGGGCATCTGCTGGTCGTGCAGGCCCCGTCAATGCTCAGCTTAAGTTTTGGTGTATGCAAATCTGTTTTTCCATTAGCAAACATGCGAGCTTTTGGCTTGTGATTATAAACTGTTGAGTCAATCCCTGCTAGCATTAAACTCAACTCCGAGAATCATCTAATCACTTAGACACTTCCCCACCACCCCACCACCCCATCACCCCCAATCCACTCGTTCACGCTCGGCTCAATGCCATTGGATTCAGAGCACACACACACACACATAAATAAAGTCAGAAGGCTTTATGCCATACACATGTACAGTTATGTGAGTGCTATGTCAGAAATGATGATTTATAGTGCTCCACATTGAGTCGCATTTAAAAACGCCTTTGCCTTTGCCTTTGCCTTCCTTTGCCTTTGACTTGCTACAGCGAAACGTTGCCTTTTGTTGACTTGCCCATATTTGTTATTCTTTTCTGTTTCGCTTTCTGTTTGGCTTTCCCTCTCCACTTCTCGCTCCCTTTCTGCACACTGTTGCATGTACAGCATTTTTAAATTGCATGAAAATATCAGCAGGAGTACAAAGCAGGAGTTCAATATATTTAGTATATGATTTGCATGGCATTACGAAACGTCTAAGACTCAACGGCAATGGGAATTTGGGTTATGTTCAGAAGCAGACGTACTGGATGACATCAAGCATATATAAGCTGTATTTGAGTGATAAACTGAGTCGATCAAGCCACATCCGTCTACCCATACATTGCCCTACCGTACATGCATCCGTCTATTCCATTGTCTATTCTTCCCTTCGTCACTCCATCCGTCCATCTGCCGCTCTATAAAGAGTCGACTGATGGGAATAGCAGCAGCTCTAAGGGTATACCCTTTGGATATATCCTAGTCATCGTAGTCCTAGTCCTGACTTGAGCATGTTTCGGCACCGCCAAGTTTACCCTATTGATCTCTATTGACCTCCTCTATATACACTTCGCGTCATCAGGTTAGCGCCCCCCCTTACACTCATTTTCTTTTACGTTTTTCTCTTTGTCTATTGCACGTAACTTCTTGGTTTTTTTTTTTTTTCATTATCATCATATGAGATGTCTCTCATACCAAAAAAAAAGCGAGTAAAAACCCGTTATGTTTTATTTTCTATTCTGCTCTATTTTCGCAAAAAATGTGTGCACTTATTTTGCGTCATCAGATTAGCGCCCCCAAATGCAATTGTAATTATCTTGCTTATTTTGGCAATTACACTCACCAAATTTTTTGTGAAGCTCAAAGTATTCAAGATATTTATAGTATGGGTGAAGAAACAGTTTTATCTTTGGTTGAAAATCAAAGATTGAGGCATACTTTGAATCTAGACTATGCAACCATAAAATTGCTGAAAAATCAGGAAAAAACACAAAACTAAGTGGCAATTTTCTTACAAATAGGGAAAACTATGGAAAAAACTATATAAGCGGCAATAATCAAGTGATTTCAGAAGGAAATAGAAGAGCATTAGTTCGAGAAGCTTCGAATTCCCACGAATCGACCACCAAGATTAGGGTTAAAATCAGTGTTAAGACGAGCTTATCAACGGTCTAAAGAGCAATTAAGAAAGTTAATTACTTAAAGAAACAGAATGTAAAAAAAAAGTCACCAGTCGATATGCTGAGAAAAGAAATACGCATTAATTTTGGCCGGGCGAATATGACGTGGTCTACCCAATGGCAGCATGCTGTCTTTTCTGATGAGAAAAATTGAATTTGGAAGGAACTGATGGACATAATTATTATATCCATGACCTACTTATAGAAGAACATTATTTGGAACGGTTTCCAAGCCGCTGCGGCGGGGGGGTGGTGTGGCATTTGTGTAGGTATCAATATCTTACTACAGCACTTGCAAGCTTCAATTTTTGACATCGCGCATGAACGCATAGGACCATAATATCGTGTTTAAAACTGCTGTTCCGCATTTCTATAACCTGTCTGAAAACCGGCATTAGATTTTCCAGCATGATAATGCCCCAATTCAGACCGCCCGATCCCTGAAGTCCTGGATTCAGGGCCAAAAAATTGATCTCATGGAGTGGCCACCATACTCACTCGACCTTAATATCATTGGAAACGTCTGGGGATGGTTGGTCAGGAAAGTATATGAGTCCGGAAAGCATTATAGTACAAAGACAGAGTTAATCGAAGGTACTGAACACGCTTAGTCAACCATATCCTTGAATAATATTGAACAACTTTATAATTCCATTTCTAATCGAATTTTTTAAGTAATTTCAAACAAAAAACGGCACTACGCACTACTAATATTACTTAAAAATAACAATAGCTTAAAATACAGGTGTTATTTTTTGGTCATTAGCTTAAATAAATTGAATTTAATGCAGGGGGCGCTAATCTGATGACCAAATTTTTGTTACAAATTTTTTGTACATTTTACAAAAAAAATTATTAAAAAATAATCCTTATTGTTACAGTAGCCATTCTTTTTGTATTTTAAAGAGAAATAAATGGAGTATAATATAAAAAAATTTCAAAGATGGAGCTCTGATGGTTTAGATTTTATTTAGCTTTGAGGTTGAGTGTAAAGGGGGGCGCTAACCTGATGACGCGCAGTGTATTTAGAGGACTTAGTTTTACGCAATAATAAAGGCTTTTATATATCTACGTTCGTTCGCTTTCAGCTGATGGATATAATCACGGTGGGAGCAAGCGTCGCCTGTTTGGCTCGTGCGATGGCCGACGGCATCTCTATTGCATGCGCAGTGCTTCGGTCAAGTCGGTGCGACATCAGCAGCAGCAGCAGCAGCAGCAGCTCAGCGTGTCCGGCGAATGCTGTGGCCGACTGCAGCGAATGACCACAATGAGGCAACAGCAGCAGCAGCAGCAGCAGCTGTACATGAGCTCAGCCAAGGATGGGGAGAGAAGGAAATCGTTGTCCACGCCCAGCTTGCGCGTCACGGAGGCGACGCTGCGCAGGTGAGTGCCACTGAGAGTCAGAGAGCTACAGCAACTGTCTAAGGTCTCGATGCGTTTGCCTGCAGATCGAATGAGAGCAAGAGCTTGGAGAGCAAGAAGCGCGTGGTGAAGATGCTGTTCGTGCTGGTGCTGGAGTTCTTCATCTGCTGGACGCCGCTGTATGTGATCAACACAATGACGATGCTGATTGGGCCCGTGGTGTATGAGTATGTGGACTATACGGCCATCAGCTTCCTGCAGCTGCTCGCCTACTCCTCCAGCTGTTGCAATCCGATTACCTACTGCTTCATGAACGCCAGCTTCCGGCGCGCCTTTGTGGACACCTTCAAGGGCATGCGGCTGTGCAATGGGGGACGCTTCGGATTCTGTCGTCGGCGCTCCAACAACAAGACGAATTTGTCCGTGGCCGGAAATTCGATTGCGCTGGCCAATTCCGTGATGTCTAGCCACACCATACTGGAGAGTCCACGACTCTGAGGCAGTCGACGTCAGCTGACGTCAATGAAGCTGCGTTCGCTGAGAGATAGAGATAGGGATAGGGATAGGGATAGGGATAGGGTTAGAGATAGGGAGAGCGTCAATGTGCGTGTGGGCAATGGCACGAACGAGGGGCTGATGGAGACGGAGTCACTGTAGAGTAGACTAGACCGTTATAAATATGTATGTGATGTGCAAGAAACTGAAACTGTGGTTGTCAACGATTCTACTCCAAGTAAGTTGTGTTTTGGTATGGATGAAAGAGATATACATGTATGTATGTGTACATATACATATATATAGACTATATACTATATGTTGCTATTGGGTTTCAACTCATGAAACTAACTAAAACCTATTTGTATTATTAATCGTATCACTTCAGAGCTGTTGCATTGTCTTTTATTGTAATATCTAATTGTTAAATGTAAATTGTTGGACTTATCCTGGCAGCGTTTCAGTGTTTATACAAATGTCTTTTTTTTTATATATGTATAAAATATAATTACTATATATATATATATATACGCAATCAAGAGTAAGATTAACCAACAATTTTAAAGATTCAAATCTATTTGAAAACCAATTTATTCTAGCCGTAAGCAAGATCAAGTCGAACTAGAAATTGCATTTGACAAGTGCGTAAACTGTTTACCTGTAACTTCAAGCTACAAAATACAATGGAAATAGCAACAGCAAAGGCCCACAAAGTATTACGAAGTTAAATTAAATATACGTATGAATCAATGTATTTATGCAGAGTGAAAAAAAAAGAAAGAAGAAATCTCTTAAGTCTTAAACAGAATATATTCCTTCTGGGGGCGAACCCGAAACCAAACCTTGGCGCGTTTCAAACCGTCCGTCAAAACTATTTGTCAACTTAGGTTAGTATTTCGAGATATTTGTCGTAACTTCCAGGCGAATTAATTTACATTTAAGTAGAGCTGGTTCACGTCTCCGTGTGACTCGCACTTAAGATGCAAATTTCGAATGTCGCAAACAATGAATTTCCAAATAAACTAAATAATTGTAGTACCTATACATGCATACATACGAGTATCAGCATATGTGTACATATATATGTGTATGAATTATGTCTGCGTGTTAGCGAGTTTCAATATTTTCACTTCTGTACACCTCAACGAACTTACGAAGTGCAAATTCAGTAATTCATATGTAAAATAGCAATAAATGTGTTTTATGAAAATACCAAAGACGAGATTTATTTCAGGGCATACTTTTAGGCTGTGCTCCAATAGGTTGGACACGCAGGCAGGCAGACAGGCCGAACAACATTCATTCGCAGTGAATTAATTCGAGCACTCATGAGCCATGACTGCCTGCCTGCCATTGATTGCCCATTTGAAGTTAATGAGCAGCGACGCGTCGTAGCTCTGCTCAAGTTGCTGTGCGTGTTGGCTGGTTAGCCGCCTGTCCTGGCCATGTTAGTCATGTTGGCCATGTTGGCCATGTTGGGCATGTTGGTCATGCTGTTTGGCTGCTAACGCTGATAGACAAAGGCAACGTCGGTGCCATAAATAATGCCCAGTCGACAGGATGTGTGGCCAGATGCTCTCACAAAGCACATGCTTATGCCAGGAACTCTGGGTGCTCGAGTGGGTGCGAGCCGAAATCAATTACCGTCTGACCGCATGGGTCTGAGCTCTCTCTCTCTCTCTCTATTACACATATATACACTCCCTCTCTCTCGCTCTCTCACTGCAGTGGCTTTGTGAGTGGTGCTGAAAGGGATAGCTGCCAAATGCTAGCTCATTGATTATGTTGATGGACGATTAGAAAACGAGAGAGATAAGGCGACGTGACAAATCATTTTAATGGAAATGGATTTGTTTTCCATTGCACAACAATGAGAATATGGTTTTCCAATTACTGTTTATTAGACTGAAAGTAACTGCAAATATTTTTGGTATTTTCAATGTAATTACTAAGCAAAAGACATGGCTTGGCTTACTTAAGCTAATGAGAATCGCATAGAGGGAGATATGTGTGCATGTCTGTGCGAGAGAGCAAGTAAAAGAGCTCTGGCATCTAGACTTGTGAGTGTCACATATTCTCTATGGAACATGGATTTATATGGAACTTAATGATGAATAATTTCGGTTCTAAATGACATTACAAATTTCGTTCGCTATAGCATTTATTGTTTATGGTGCTGAAATATGGATTTGTATCGATTGTATGTATGCAAGTGTGATGATTTATCGAAAAGAGCTGATCGATAATTTTGCAAATGGGAATTACTGGTAATATTAATTGTGATCTGAGCAGGTATGTGTATATGTACATATATCTACAGTAAGAAGCCGTTATTTAATCTATCTGCCACGTTCCCATGGGTTCTGTAAAAAAAAATATGGCTGTATATAAAAAAATATGGCTTTAAGAGATTCTTTAGTATACCAAATAATACATATAGCTTATATAAGTTTCTCCTAGAGCATGGCATATATAGCATATTTTTTCAAGGGATCTATATAAGCTACATATATATGTACTTATATTGTATTGTGTATCATAATATGCATAGCTTATATAGATTATCATCAGTTATATGAGGATATTATGAGAGACATGGCGTCTATATAATAAAACATAGACACACACACACACACACACACACACGCCCTCAACTCATTAAGTTTTTATGCCAATATATTATTAGATAAACTAAAAACATAAATTCATGAGAATTCATGCTCGTTGCCTACTCAATGGCTATGCGCGTCTCTTCTATGCAATTCTCATGAATTTATGTCCTCTACTCACTCGATTGCTCTAGATAGATCCAGATGGAGACATTTCGAGCAGCTTCCGCTCCACTTGATATATAGGCATATGCAATAAATAGATGGGGCCGCGTCGTGCAATATCCTTTGTGGGCGATCATATTTGGGGCATTCGATAAAAGCTGATTGTTTGTTGATGGAAACAGCTAGAAGCGTACCCTTGTGTGTGTTTTGTGCTTGTGTTTCGCTGTTTATTAATAGGCCAGGGCCTGCCTGGGGCCATGCTTGGGGCCATGCTTGGGGCCATGAATGGCAGCTGCCGCTGTCGAATCGTGGTGTATTCCATTAGCACATTCGTCCCTCGATTTGTCACAATTGCAATGGGCCCATTTGCTGCGAGCCCCCGCAATCAGAGTGGAGCGCGCGCGCGCTCCAGCTGACGTCAGCTGGCCAAGTGTCCTTAGCCGTTCCGCCGTGCCGTTGTTGTTGGGCCGGGGCTACGTGACAATTACCACAGTTATTACACGTAATGAGTACAGCCACAGCATGCAAACAAACAGAGGCTGTGCGTGGCATGAGGCGAGGAGGCTTGGGGGCGTGGGCGGGGCGAAGACGAAGGCGTACGACGCGACGTCAGCAATGGCTGACAGGGGAATTATCTAGTATTTGTTTTCGCTGCGATACGACGCCCAGCTGCACGCTGATGAAACCTTCTTGGAATTGTAATCAGATCACGGCCAGCAAGCACTTGAAGCACCTGCACTACAGATGCCACGAAAGAGAGGTAGAGAGAGAGAGAGAGGGAGAGAGAGAGAGAGAGATGCGGTCAGGAAGATCGCAGTCCTTGGCTCAAAAGCGACCCAGTTTTTGTATTTTTGTTTTTCTTACTTGAGCCAGCTGTGCGAATTCCCAAGCAATTCAAATTCAAATAAACATGCTTAATGCTCCACTTGTATAAATGGCACCCGCCCCGCCCCCGCCTCTTCCCCTGCGCCGCACAGCAAGCCATTCCGGTTGACATTCAAATGGCCCATTCGTTCCGAGCAACTGCATTAACTTATTTATTTATTAAGCATTTATTGCTTGCGGCATGCCCATAGACACAGTCACAGCCTGCCACAATCTGTGTGGCACGCACTCGCCCCCAGCACTCAGGTGCCCGGATGCTCTAACGGAAATGTGCTGTGCTCGGGCCTGGAGAGGCTGGAAGTGCTGCACCAGGACTGGGCCTAGAAGTTAACAGTAATTAAAGGGCTGGCTCAAACACACATTTCCATTGCCCAAAACTAAAAGGCAATTATTAATAAATTATATACATTTGTTAACGTTTATACATATGTATATACATATATGTATATATATCTAATTTTTTTTATACTCATATACCATGCACAATCATGCTGAAAGCAATACCCTAATAAACAAGAAAGTTGCTTAGTTAGAGAACAAGTTTGTTTGATATATCGAAAGCTTTTACAGCTTTTATTGCTATCGAGTTTTTAGAGCTAGACTTCACAAATATGGTTTTTTAAATTTTTTTTTTTTTCAAGTTCATTTCTAAATATAGCCAATGTGTAAAAGACATATCAGATTTACCAAAAATGATAATGATTTCATTTATCATGTAGATAATATGCTGAAAATTTTATTGAAATCGGCTTAGTAATGCAGAAGTTATTCAGGAAATTGCCAAGCAGCGCCGCATTTTCTCTATATATTAGCGCATATATATACACATGAAAATGCGAGAATACTCCACTATTCTAGAAAGGCGAAGTTCTCTCTCACAGATCATGGGAGCATGCTTACCATCCCCGTTTGTTCCAAGGTTAGGGTATCTTGTAGTCAGTCTACGCTTGATTTTCTCTTCACCATAGAACTAGACTGCTACGGCTGCTCTCATCTGTACGCTTCATAAGAAAAGCCTAATAACATTAGCAGAGTGTATTATGAGCATGACAACCAGAGGTCAGTGTACGCGCGCTCTTATGTAATTGGCAGACTGTAAAGGGAGCAGGGCAAAGGAATGGGGCGGAGCTGAAGCTGAGACTAAAGCTGAGACTGAAGCTGAGGCTGAGGCTGCGGCTGCGGCTGCGGCTGTTGCTGTTGCTGTCGCTGGGCAGTCGATTACGACATTTACGAATTGAATTCATATATATGTACCTACATACATATATACTGTTTTATTTTTGTAGCTATTTTAAGCTTAATAGCCAACTCTTATAAGCGAACAATTACTTGAGTTATTGAAGGCGTTAAGCGAATGCCTAACTGTGCATGCGCCTGTTGCCCATCAAGTATACGCACGGAGGGCCCGTAAGGCAACGGCATGGCGACCTTGACCAGCTTTTTTTTTTGGTTGATGTTGTTGTAGCTGTTGTTGTTGTTGTAGCTGTGATTTTGTTAATCGTCTTCGATGGCAAACGGCGGCCGCTTCAATTGAGACTTGAGACTTGAGACTTGAAGGCGGATTTGCGCAACGGACGCGCCCTTTTTGCCCAATTATACAATTGCGACGCCGTTACTTGAATTTCGCTGTTCGCTATCCGCCATCCGGCGACTCGACTTCAGTTGAACGGGTTATTCGTATTGTATATTAATTATGCTGTTTATCTGTCGCAATTTTTAAAACGTGGCTCGGCTATTTGGAGAAGTTTCGCGGCTCATTTCATGCAGTTGACCTTCGTGCACAGCGAA